TCAAATTCATAGTTTCATAAAAATTTTTATTAAACACGAAAAATGAGTCTTTTTTTCATAGTGCCAACATAGGGTGAGACGGCAGTAGGAGTGTGAATGCAAGGCACTGGAGAATGAACCAGTTCATCTAGAAACCATACTACTCAAACTCATGACCTGAACTGATACTTAAAATTTATTATGATTACTATAATTGTTATTTTACTATTTTGTCCCCTTCTCCAATTCAATCTTTTCTTTCTTAGGGAAAGAGACTAACATAAAAGTGGAATAAAAAATAATGGCTAACAAAACCACAGCATAAGGAAAAGAAGAACCAACATGGGATCTGCCAATAAAAATGTTCCGTCAAGGCTGGCTAACCAATTCAAATGTTTCTACTGACTCACTAGCATGCTACCAAGTGAACAGTTTCACATGTCTTCAAACTCAGGGCCACCATTTGTTTGTAACAGATGCTCAGAAATTACAATCATAAATGCTAGGGTTGGAGAAGAATGATTAGGTCATTCCTTTTGGTCTGACATGGTCAGGATTACTGCAGAAAACTACACTATTCTGGTGCTTTGCTAAAAAATTTCTATGTTTTTTAGATCTATAGGTCAGCTCTGCCTTTTCCTCAGAAGAGACTTTTCTTATTCTAGATTCCGAGTCACACATATACATGTTTCAGTCTCTTTCTTGCACACTGCATTCCTCTCATGTTTCTTCTACATTTCAAGTTCTGGGGTTATAATGAACAACTCCTTTTACTTATTCAATTATCCATAATTAAACAATGTAAACATTTAAAATATGGTGGGTCCTGCCATGAAACAATGAAACAATTTCATGAAAATTCTATGAAGCCAGAACAATTATTATTGCTATTCTAAAAATGAGCAGGCTGAGGCAGAGAAAGGTTAAAGAACTTAAGTCATAAATCTGGTAAGTTCAGATTCAGGCTCTTTTATACTAGGAAGTATGTTCTTACTAGTTGCCGTAAGTAATTAGAGGCAGATATCATGTAGAATTAGGTGGAGGGAGTAAACTCCTTACAAATTAACAAAAGAATGAAGTAAATTCTGAGCAAAATTGTAGAAACTGAGACACTCCCAACTGAGGACAGATGATTAGCAGAACTGGCTCAACCATATGGAGAGGAGTCCAGAATATAGCAGAAGAAAGGCTATTCTCTTGCTCAGCTTCACAGTGAAAAGGAATTGAAAGCTCACTGTATTAGAACCCACAATATGTCATTCATAGTGTTTTGTATGTATTTACGCTTAGGTTATAGTCTTCAACTGAGGTTTCATGAATCATTACTTTTTATTTGTATGCCATATACTGGAAATCCTCATTTAAAAAAAATACGGAATTCAATTCACTATTCTAAGAGGAAACAACAGAATACCTGTTACTTCACAGACTTGGCAGCACAGTGTGGGTTGACCTACAGGGCAGTGCAAACAGAGCGGGCCAGTTAAAGAACCACCACACTCTCAACAGAATATCTGGATAGAGGATTATGTCTAAAGTGCTGAGATAACTTATTAAAAGGAAGGTATTAAATGACCATTTTACTAAGATATGAAACTGAAAGACAGCAACAAGGGGAAATTTAAGTGGAAATTAAAGCAAGGACTACTTTTAAAATGTTACGCTGGGAACACTATATCAAAAACAAATGATGTACTATATGTTGGCTAACTGAACATAATAAAAAAAAAATAGACCAAAACAACAACAACAACAACAACAACAAGAACTTTATGTTGGTAAATCTGCACGATACAAACTCGTGAAAAATCTAAGAACATCATGGTGCCTCAGAATATATTCTGAGCGACTGAAGAAGGTGATTTAAGAGACAGGTCATCTATCAGAGCCAGGTTTTAGAACTTTATTTCCAGAACTTTCATTTAATGTTTGTTTTACTAAATTTCTATACTACTTAAAAATTTCTCTACATACTTTATTCATTTATTCCATGTCTTATTGTGTGAGTGCTTGATGTTACCAAAAATAGTTTTGCTCATCATAGTAGTTTTCAGAAATGTAATCTCTGACCAGTTTGGAAAGGGAAGTCCACAATAGAGTGTAGCACTGTGGTACCGAAAAAGGAAAAAAAAAAATTACACACAACTCCCTTTTCATGGCTTGAAGTGAAGCATTCCGTTAAAACTTCTTCCATATATTTTCAAAGTCCTGATGATAAAAGAAAATTCCCACACAAATACACAGCTATTTTGCTATAAGCAGGTATCTGTACTTAGTAGGAAAGATCTGACAGGTAAAAATCAAGAAACTGGTGCATGGAGCAAACAAAACAAAACTTTTCTACTGTTACTTTAGTGAGGCCTGTTTCTGCTTCAGAACATCACATGAGATACTTTGTTTTCCACAACATTATATCCATCCTTCTTCCATTTTCTTAAATCCTTTGGGCTCTGATTTAATTTGCTTCTCAACTCTACCCCCTTCCATGTTTTAGGAATGGTTCCCAGACCTCTTTCATTCAAATAATTTTACGCTTTATTATTCAAAAGATACCTCTACTATTCCATCTCCAAAATATCAAGCTTTAAATTTCAACCACCAGTGACAAAAAACTTGTTTTACACTAACTGCTCCCGAAGCAGCATATTAACAAACTTTATCCTCTTGATGATAGTCAGAACACTAACCTCTCCCTATTCTCCAGGTGTACAAATTTATTTCTGGCTTCAAGTACTCATCACTTCCAAGGGTAGATCATCTGTAATGCTTTCATAAAAGATTAGAATCTTTTAACTTTGCACTGTGGCCTAATAACCTATACATATATGCAGGTGACAACCCAACAACTGCTTCCTCAACTCTTAGGTTGCTGTCAGGATATTGTATGTGCCATGAAAACCCACACCAAGGTATCATGGCAAGATCCTCTTCTGGTCTGTAATTTGGGTATTTAACATTTATTGACAGTTCAAAGCAGCAGAAAAGAAGAGGTGATGTTCACTCGGCATCAGGGAAATCCAAATCAAAACCTCAATGAGATACCACCTCACACCAATCAGAATGGCTAAAATTAACAAGTCAGGAAACAACAGATGTTGGCGGGGATGCGCAGAAAGGGGAACCCTCCTACACTGTTGGTGGGAATGCAAGCTGGTGCAACCCCTCTGGAAAACAGTATGGAGGTTCCTCAAAAAGTTGAAAATAGAGCTACCATATGACCCAGCAATTGCACTACTGGGTATTTACCCCAAAGATACAAATGTAGGGACCCGAAGGGGTACATGCACCCCAATGTTCATAGCAGCAATGTCCACAATAGCCAAACTGTGGAAAGAGCCAAGATGTCCATCGACAGATGAATGGATAAAGAAGATGTGGTATATATACACAACGGAATACTATGCAGCCATCAAAAGGAACGACATCTTGCCATTTGCAACGACGTGGATGGAACTGGAGGGTGTTATGCCGAGTGAAATAAGTCAATCAGAGAAAGACATGTATCATATGACCTCACTGATATGAGGGATTCTTAATCTCAGGAAACAAACTGAGGGTTGCTGGAGTAGGGGTGGGGTGGGAGGGATGGGGTGGCTGGGAGTTAGACATTGGGGAGGGTATGTGCTATGGTGAGCGCTGTGAATTGTGCAAGACTGTTGAATCACAGATCTGTACTTCTGAAACAAATAATGCAATATATGTTAAGAAAAAAAAAGAAGAAGAAGATAACAGGAGGGGAAGAATGAAGGGGGTAAATCTGAGGGGGAGATGAACCATGAGAGATGATGGACTCTGAAAAACAAACTGAGGGTTCTAGAGGGGAGGGGGGTGGGGAGATGGGTTAGCCTGGTGATGGGTATTAAAGAGGGCACATTCTGTGTGGAGCACTGGGTGTTATGCACAAACAATGAATCATGGAACACTACATCAAAAACTAATGATGTAATGTATGGTGATTAACATAACAATAACAATAAAAATAAATAAATAAAATCTTTTAAAAAGAAAACACAAAACTTAAAAAAAAAAAAAGAAGAGGTGATGTTAGCCTAAAGTACTTGCTGAGCTGAGAAGTCTGTTTATTTTAGGTCAGGGAGACTCAGTATTTATGCAGAGAAGAAGAAACTAATAGAAAGTGAGCACAGATGATGTGAGAGAAAACTAACAGATGAAGACTGCATAGGAGGGGAAGTGTGCTTAAAATCTGCGATAGAGATCAGAAGCTAGCCTTATGATGGAGAGAGTATCTTTTCTGAAACAGAAGAAAAGACAACAAAAATACAGACAACTGCTGAGGTAAAGAAGGTCGCTAAGCTATCCCAGGATAAATCTGTCTTCATAAAACCTAGAAGCAGGGCAATTATGAAGGGGTGAGGGTTGGGCATAGTGCCACAATGAAGAAAAAGAAGCATCTATTATGGACTAGCAGACATGACATGTCTCACAACAAATTATCTCAGGAAGTCACAAGACGTGGGACTAGTAGGAAAATGATGTACGGCAAGGTTCTACTAAAATTGACAATTTTGTAAAAACTGACTGGAAAGTGTAGCAAAACATTAATGGTTAAATATGGGGGCTATGTATATACGGGCTCATTATACTATTTTCTCTACTTTTGCATATCTTTGGAAGTGTTTATAATAAAAAAAAATGTTTTTAAAAAAGTACCTGGCTATCATAGGACCTCAAGACCAACAGTCATGTTCCTCAGTAAGCTCAGCAACATGGCTAAACTTTCCATAAGATTTTAGAAATTTCAGAGATGCAACTGGATAAGGTTATATACACATACACACACACACACACACACACACACACACATTCTCTCTCTCTCTCGGACTTTAAAATTCAATGAAGAGGCAAAAATAATTCTATTTGACCAGAATTTGTTCCAAATTTGTTCTAAAGAAATACAAGTTTGCATTAAAACAAAGTTAAATGTGTTAGCGGTAATAAATTGGGCCAGATGATAAAAGCAATGAGAAAAAGGTTTTCAAAATAAGATTATAAACACTTACTTCATCTCCAGAACTTCCTCTAAGTGTTTCCTTCTTTCTGCACGAAGATTGGTCAAATGAGTTTCCTTTTCTGCCAGAGACTGTTGAGTAGAGGACAGCTTTGCTTTCATGGACTCCAGTTCCTGCTTCACTTTCTCCATGGCCATCAGTAATTCCTCCACCTATGATAAGTATGGAAAAGAAAAACTGAGCATTTTGATCAATTAAAGACAGAGGAGCTAAGCAACGGGCAAGTCCTGGGTCCACAAGATTAAAAACACACGCATATAGCAAAAACCCTGTACTCTTGCTGATTCAAACAAATATATCAAGACAATATACCAAATAAATAAATCTCTGGTCTTCCCTCCACTATAATTCTTCTCAAGTTACCTCAAAAAGAACTTCATTTTCTTTTTGATAAACATAACTGCATCAGTTCAGTAAGTCACACTTTGCCATAGTCAGTCCCTTTTAGAGAATTTATTTGGAAATGGCCCACAAATGTCCATGGAAATCACAATATAACACAGATAAAAATATAAGGAACAAAATCATAGTAAATTTCTCTTTTAGGATTTTAGGAAATAAAAGACATAAACTTGACTAACAACACTCAGTATAAACAAAATAAGTCATTTTTATTCATTCAAAGATTTTTCTGTTTACACCGCTAAAAATAATTTCTTTTGGAGAAAACAGCTAGAATTCAATCAGACAGCTTCTTGCTCTAAAGTAGAGTTTTCTCAAGGAAGGCAGGAAGAAAAAAGAAAAACACATGACCACATAGAGAGGAGAGAGAATGCTTTAAAAAAAGACTTGAAAAAAGTCCTGAGGGAAAGAAGACAAAACTCTACAACACAAGGAACTAAGAAAACACAGTATGTACTTCATCAGTCATTTCCACTCACTCTGGGTGGTGTCCAAATCAGAATTACTTAAATAAACATGTTCATTTTAATTCCGAAGCAAGATATATGTTGGCAAAAATGTGTTAATACCAAAACCAACCTGAATCAGGTAATCAACCAGCCAACTGCACCAATCACAAGAGTTTATATTGGCTGCCAAGAAATAATTTTGATGACAAGCCTTTTCAGAGGAAGAGGTGGGGGAATTGCCATTCATTGACTTCTACATAAAACCAATTTCTGTGATACTAAAACTGAGAACAGTTTAGAGACAAAACTGCAATATAACAAATCAGAGTTGTTAACAGACCCCAGGATGTTAGCGCCTCAGACCTAACCAAAGTTTCCATGTTGATTGGTAACAGCTGCTAAACAGATAATAAACAGATACATTTAGTGTTTTGGCACCTGAATCATCTTACTTTGTGTATCTTTTCAGAAGTGATCAAGTTAATGTTCTCAGCTAATAGCTGTGAGAACAGTGCTGTGAGTATATATATTATTATGCAGCTCTTCTTGGATATGTATTCACATATTTACAAGCTTTATGTTAACATGTATCACTATCCACCCTTTGAAAACTGCAAATAAGGACGACTCCATTTTAATAAGTTTAATTCATGTAAAATCTTATTTAAACTGAACTGAAATGACATACCAAGTTATGTTCTTATAACACAAAATCAATGGACAGCACCATTTACAGAAGCTCTAATAAAGTGTGGGATATTTCCATCTTTGATGAACTTATCTTAAACAAATAAAAAAATCTCCCTCCCAACCTGTCTCTCACTACCCCAAGCAAGGTATGGTATCAGTTTCTTATATAACTTAGATATATTACATATACATAAGCAAGCTTGTATAAACAACTTATTCCTCTTTTCTATATTAAAAAAAGGAAGCTCACTTTATATATACCCTTATGCATCTAAAATTTTTGGTAAATGTTTACAGAAATACAACGTAGAGAAAAAAAACACAAATGTTAAATGTGCAACCTGAAGAATTTTCTCTAAGTTGGACACACCTGTGTAAAGAGAACACAGACCAATGAACAAAACATTAACAGTCCCCCAGAAACACATCTGAAAACCTCTTCCCAGATGAAGAGTAACCATTATTCCAGCATTTTACGTTAGTTTTGCCTACTTAACTTTCTACAAATGGAATTACATAGTATTTAATTTTAAGTAAAGATTTTCTTCTTTTTTTTTTTTTAAGATTTTATTTATTTGACAGAGAGAGACACAGCGAGAGAGGGAACACAAGCAGGGGGAGTGGGAGAGGGAGAAGCAGGCTTCCCGCTGAGCAGGGAACCCAATGCGGGGCTCGATCCCAGGACCCTGGAATCATGACCTGAGCCGAAGGCAGACGCTTAACGACTGAGCTACCCAGGTGCCCCCTAAGTACAGATTTTCTTCACTCAGTGTTATGTCTGTGAGATCCATCCATGTTACTGGGTATAATTACAGTTCTGTAATTCTCTTAACTGTATGGAATTCCACTGTGTGAAAATAGCAAAATTTACTGAAGGCACTTTTGATAAAAAGAATTTAAAAAAATTTTTTTTCCAGGTTTACTGAGAAATAATTGACATACATCACTGTGTAATTTTAAAGTGTACAGCATAATGGTTAGATTTACATATATTGTGAAATGATTACCACGATAGGGTCAGCTAACATCCATTCTCTCATACAAATACAATAAAAAGAATGAAGAAAAAACTAACTGCCTCCTTTTCATGGCAAATCTTAGGATTTGCTCTCTTAATAACATTCCTATATATCACAGAGCACTGTTAGTTACAGTCATCATGCTGTGCACATTATATCCCTACTACTTATCTTATAGGAAGTTTGTACTTTTTGACCACCTTTCTCCAAGTCCTATTTGACCTACCCCCTACCTCTGGTAACAAGACTGATCGCTTTTTCTATGAGTTTGTATTTATTTTGTTTTGTTTTAGATTCCACATATAAGATCATACAGCATTTGTCTTTCTCTAACTTACTTTACATTTAGATCTACAATATAGATGCAACTGAATAAATACAGTGTAATGGTCAAAATTCATTTTTATCAATATGGGTATTCAACTAACTCAGCAGTATAAATAGTAAGAAGAACTTTAATAGCCACAGTAAGAAGGCACTTTTGGTCTACTTGGCAAAAGATCAGAAATTATTTATTTTTTTAAACATTTATTTATTTATTTTTAGAGGGAAGGGAAGAGAGAGAGAGCATGCACAAAGAGGGGAGACGCAGAGGGAGCAGAGCATGGAGCCCGATGCAGGGCTTGATCTCACGACCCTGAGATCATGGCCTGAGCCAAAACCAAGAGCCGGATGCTCAACCAAGCCACCCAGGCGCCCCAAGATCACAAATTATTTAAAGACTACTTACAAATTATAGGAAAGATAATTTCACAATGCTTCGTATTGTACATAAACACCTTTAAATTTCATAAATAAGCAATGTGAAATACAGATATATTAAAAAGGAATACACATATATTCCAGAACCAAGAACAATACACACATCTATAAAGTCACTATCCAGAAGCTTTATAAGTGAAATTATCCAACTGTATGCCCAAAGTCCCCCATGATAGGTCATCACCATTTTAAATTTGTTACTTAATCCCTTCCATTTCTTTGTTTTTGCCTTTGATATATTTATTCCAAAATGGTTCAGTTTATGAACATTGTATAAATGGAATCTTCTGACTTTCTTATTTCATCCAACATTATGTTTTTTCATGTATATAAAAAAAGGGGGCCTACCCTTATATATATATTCCAGAACCAGAAGGAAAACATACCCTACATACTTACCATTTTAGGAGTTAAAAGCAATGAGGGCCAACAACTTTAAGCACCACAACACCCAGATTATAGTTTCCCACTAAACTGAAAGAGCTCCTTAAAAACACAGCTGATTCCAGATTTGGGGGAAGAAATGTATGAAAGATGAACGCTGCACAACTTTTTCCAGAAAGCAAGAGAAATGCGAATCATGGCAAACAGGGATCATGACACAGAAACCCTGATAACAAAACCAGAAAAATATATCACAAGCAAGAAAAACAAAGGAAATTACACAAGAATATTCCTTCTGAATACAGAGGCAAAAAAAAATACCAAAAAGTCAAACCCAGGAAGATAAAAAAATTGAGATTTATCCTAAGAATTCAAGGTTGGTTTAACACATAAAAATAAATGTAATAAACCATATCAGTAGAATATAGGCCAAAAAACCCCACATGATCATCTAAGTAGATGCAGAAAAGCATTTAACAATTTCCAACAACCTTTCATGATAGAAACAGTCAAGAAAATAGGGAAAAAGAAAAACTATCTCAACCTGATAAAGGGCATTTATGAAAAACTCACAGCTAATATAAACTTCAATGATTAAAGACGGAATGCTTTTCCTCTAGGAATAGCACCAAGAACAAGACTAGAATGTCCTTTCTCACCGTATCTATTTAATACTGTACTAGAAGTGATAGCCAGAAAATTAGGATACACAGATAATTAAAAGGCACCCACACTGAAAAGGAAGACAAAATTTTCTCTAGTTGAAAATGACATGACCTTACATAGTGAAAAACACCAAGAATCCACTAAAATAAATTATAATCAACAAGTATACAAAGGTTCCAGAATACAAGATCAATATACAGAAATCAATTGTCTGTCCATACACGAGCAATGAACGTTCTGAAATGAAATTAAAAACAATTCCATTTAAAATAGCACCAAAAAGAAGGAAATAGCTAGGTATAAATTTAACTTAAAAATGCATAACATATATACTGGAAATTATAAGATTATTGAAAGAAATTGAAGAAAATTTAAATAAATGGCAAAACTTATGACTTTAGATATAACTGTCATTTTATAGGAAGCATGAAGATAAGAGGAGCTATGTAAATAGCACCATGAAAAAATAATCCACTGAATCCAAAATGTGGGACACTTGTATTGGGCACGTGACTCAAATTTGTTTATTTCTCAACTCTCAGTTCTTTTCCATTGATCTCTTTTTCTATCCTTATGCCAACACTACCCTGAAGTTTTGTAGTAAGTTTTGAAGTCAAGAAGTATGAGATTTTCAACTTTATTATTTTCTTTCAAGATAACTTTTCTTATTCTGGCTCCCCTCTCATTTTCATATCAATTTTAGGATCAGCTTGTCAATTCCTACAAAAAAAAGACAGCTAGGGTCTTTATATGGATTACACTGAACCTGTGGATCACTTT